TACTATTCACTTCTACACTTCTACATAACAGCCACAGATTCCCTTGTTCACCCCTTCCTGCCCCCTCCCCTTCCCCCCAGCCCACCCCCCATTCCCACCCCCGAGGACTGAGATCGACCTGATAGACTCCAGGCAGGTCCAGTCCCCTCCTCCCAGATTGAGCCAAGCGTCCCTGTATAAGTCCCAGGTTTCAAACAGCTATCTCATGCAGCGAGCCCAGGACCTGGTACCACTGCCTAGATGCCTCCCAAACAGATCAAGCCAATCAACTGTCTCACCTATTCAGAGGGCATGATCCAGTTGGGGGCCCCTCAGCCTTTGGTTCATAGTTCATGTGTTTCCATTCGTTTGGCTATTTGTCCCTGTGCTTTATCCAACCTTGGTTTCAACAATTCTCGCTCATATAAACCCTCCTCTTTCTGGCTAGTTAGTGGCAGGAGCCACAGGGGACACTGCTTGCTCGTTCATAGATTTATGCTAAGTTAGCTTTTTATATAGCTCAGGACCATCTGCACAGGAAATGGTGCTGCCCACATTGGGGTAGTCTCTCCTACACCAATTATTGATCAAGACAATCCCCGCAGATATACCCACAGGCCAATCTGATCTAGGGAGCTCCTCGACTAAGGCTCTCCTCTCTCTCATATGGCTATATGCTGTGTCAAGTTTACAGCTGCAGCAGACCATGACAGTGGGTATTACTGTGACTCCCATTTCAAAGGGAGAATCAGAGCTTGTTCTAAGAAGTAATTCAGATCAAGTCTTCACATCAGACAGATCTATGCAATAAATTCGAGACTGATACAGCAATCAAGTATCAGGACCATGCCATCAGGACCTGCCATCCACCTCTGTTAATTTTATTCCCAGACATAGCCGTTACTGTGTCCTATCACTGAAGGATAGCACAGTGTCTAGAAGGCAAGCAAAGAGTATTTTACCTCAGCCTTGGATAGTGGAACAACTGAGGATGTTATTTTTGCCTGGGTGACTCCCAAATCTGTTCCTTGCCCTCCTGGAGAACCCATAAAATCCAAATAGCATTTAGAATCTTTATATACACCCCAAGTTGCATTCTGCTGCTGCAATGGAGGTCTCTAATGGCTACACTGTGTGGAGTGCCTACTGCAATAACTGATATTTTCTCTTCTTTGTTGGTCTGCTTTTTGCATCAAGTTTTTAAGTGTTGTCTCACATTTGTGTCATTTAGCAAGAACCACACAATTTGTTATGTCATTATATGACATCCTTAGAGGGACACAGGTGAATTTTCTTCATAGAGAACAGATCCTCCATTGCAAGATTCTCAAAACCAAGACTTAAAAAACAAACAAACAACAAAAAAAACTGAAACAAAGACATAGAATTTGTTTATGAACAAATACATTGCACATCACAGACATCAGGGGTTTAAAGTTACAACTTTCTGGGTAGCTGGTTCTTGTGTGACAAAGAGGATGAAAGGGAGGAGTGAGAAGAGGAATGCCTTAGGGAAAGAAGAGAAGAAGCTATGGCAAGGAAAGGAGAAGAGAAAGCAGAAGAAAGAAAGGAAGCCTTGGGGAGAAGGCAACTTAGGAATGGAGACCTGGCATCAGACCCTCTGCATGAGAGACCAGGCCAGACATCCCTAGGCCTCGGTTGCTTCAGCTGGGCCTGCTCCGGAGGAAGAAATTGCAGCTTGATGAGGGGTCCTTAGAAGGACCTTGTGGCTTTGCACACACATAGAAATGGCGGCCCAGGTTGGATCCTGTTTTTTTTTTTTTTCACATTCTGCACCACACATGGCTCCCTGTGGCCTCTGCAGAGGGGTGAGAGTGAGGACCCACTCAGCACAGAGTTCCAAAGCAAGGTCTGTACCTCTTCTTTATCTTTGACCTCAGAAACTTGGCCTGCTCGTCCACCATTGTGGCCATCACATCCTCTTCTGAAGTCTTTGGGGTAACAAGCGTGCCCACCAGAGGCAGCCTAGGTAGTTCTACAGCAGGAGAAGTTTGGGAAAGATTAACAGAAGGCTGAAAATAACTCATCCGGTTTTTCTGGTGTCTTCTGGGGCCACCTTGATGTTTTCGAGGCTGGATGATTGCCTGTGGGCCTGTGCTTTTCACTGTTTGGGGGCCTGGATTTGATGATAGGGATATAGTACTGGCTGCCTTCAAATAGGTTCTTGTTCAGGAGGGACTAGGAAGCCAGGAATCTTGATCTAGGTGCCTGCAAACTCAGGGAGGAAATGGGCTCACAGAGCTGGGCACTGTTTTGCTAGCACACAGGACACATGCAAGACAGCTCTCACTGGGCAGTGGTCAGAGCTCATCACTCCAAGGAGCGGGAAGGCAGTTTGGAAAGTGTCTATGATCTCCTTGTACATAGTCAAATAGGGTACCATAGTTGAGACAGCGGGCACCAGTGATCACTGACCAGAAGGTGAGGAACCTCTCCTGTTTTGGATAGAAATAATGGTAGCTATTCATAAAAGGTACTCAGCCTGGTACTCCAGGTCACTGAGCAAGCCATCCATCCACTTACACCCCGGGTCTTCTTCAAAGCACTCTAGACTGCCAGCATTGCAGTGGTCAATGGGATGGTGGGCTGTATTTAGGTCCCCTGGGATTATCACATGGCAGCCAGATAGAAAAGCATCTTAAAGGTCAGCTGCTCAGGCTTCCCAGAATCTGTATGTAAGCAGTACACGTTGATCAGGCTCAAGGGTTTCTCCTTCCCTTCCCTCGTGCAGACCTTATGCTGTGTAAGGAGAGCCGGGCCCTCACTATCCAGAGCCTGTAGTTGCTCTTGGGTGAACTCTGGCATGTTTCCATAGCAACCAACATCCTGGTTCAGAGTGATAAGCAGGCCACTCAGGCGTTCTTCAGCAGCCACTGGGGTAGCAAGGTCCTTACAGAAAGTGGCTACACCAGAACAGTCACTCCAGCTGTGGCTGAAGCTGCAATGGGAGTTATAGCCCTCAACAACAGCCAGGGGTTCCGATAGTGCATCTCTGGTCACTTTGGTCCCCTGGAGACAGACAATATCAGCATCCAGCTCTTCCAAAATAGGTCGCAAAGCCATTGGACAATTACTGGGCACCTGGCATCCCAGACCTTGTAGGGGCTTCTGGTTCTCGTTGATATTCCAGCTTACCATGCCCAACATTTTGGTTAACTATACTGTTTCACAAAGAATGTATAGGCATAGGCAAACTGTTGGCCAGAAGTTAACTAGCTTCCACCTTCCTCCTGCGTTTGCTCAGGTGCTCAGGCATTCTTATCCCCCCAAACCACTGGACTGCTCGCAGGGGCTTCAAGTTCAGTTCTCTTTGGTGAGAGATGAACTTTTGTGAAAACTGAAAGGGTGGTGCAGATCCCAAAGAGGAAGGAAAGCTGAGTTGTATATGCTTGTAACCCCAGCACTCAGGACACTGAGGCAGGAGTTTTCAGTGAGTTCAAGACCTACCTGAGCTACGTAGCAAGACTCTGTCCAAAAACCAGGGCACAGTGCATGGTGAGAGGAACATCTGTGATGGTTCTTTTCTTCTGGATGCACAGGAACTCCTGAGTTCCTGATTCCCTTTCTCCTCTGTTCAAAAGTCCCCTTGATGCATCAGGTTAGTTACAGCGGGTTTTCCAAAGACTTACTAAAAAGCAAAAGAGTGTTCTTCCTAACACTTAATAGTCAACCAAGCGGAGTCTTCTTAAGACACATAAGTTATAAACACGGGAATTTATTTTCAGAAGACACAGGCCACTAAAGAGGCAGTCTTTGTTGGTGGTATTGTCGTTTGTATCTGAGAGCGTGCAGACTTGAGCTGGGCTGCTTTCAGACAATGGAAGAACAACATAACGGGTAACTGAGACAAAGCTAAGGAAAAATATGTATTTTGCCCAAATATTTGGTAGTTTGCTTGTCAGCTGAGAACACTGATTGACATAATTTAGTGTGCATTTCCAGACATATACACACACACACACACACACAGACACACACACACACACCCTTTCAAACACTCAGCCTGCCATTTCAGAACTCCCTTTGAAACGATGCTTCAGATACTGTAAAGTCACAAGTCACCACAGTAGAAAAAGGGTGAGCCTAAGGAAATTAGAAGAGAGACATTAGATCTCAGGTTATTTCTACAGCCCTTGGCTAGCTATGATGGAAGACACCGTACAAGAGGTGGGAGAAGTTTATAAAGCAAAACGGACTGTGGAGAGAGGGTATAGGAAGTCTATGAGCACACAGTTAACCCAGCAGTCACATAAAAAGAGGAATATGTACAACCTTTTGTGTATGTAGGCCATCAAGTCCTTAGGGCTGGAGACGGCTGCAAGGTCAATGGTATAGATGCTCAAAGAACTACAGAGAGGATGGATTCAGGGTAGCATGTTATGGTGATAAAAGGGGGGAGGAAAAAAAAAAAACCCAACCCCCAAACCAACCCCGAAGGGTCCAAAGAACCCCCCCAACAACAACCGAAAAAAACGGGAATTGCCCCCCCCGAAAACCCCCCCGGCCTAAAAACTGAACCCAAAAAAAGCCCCAAAGGCCTGCCCTCCAAAGTGAATTCCAATCCGACCAACCCAACCCCGAAAGGGAAGGGAAGGCCCAGTAGTTTCTGACACAAGCGGCCACTTCCAAGTATGTTCGTGAGCAAGGACATTAGTAAATCCCGACTCCAGGAACCAACCTTCACAGCAAGGTAGGCAGAGTCTTGTGTAAAATCCCCAGGTTGCAGGCTGGACTGGCAGGGATCCGGTTCTGAGGACCTTCAGTAGTGGGAGCTACTTGAAAGCTGGGGCCGATCTGAATCCCTGTTAGAACTGGTTTGTCAGGCCAAGACTAAATTCCCAAGA